ATGGCGGTACCGGGTCCAAGACTTATTTGGGGTTTTTCCAAAAGAGAACGAATGATAATGTAACATAGTAACTATTCGCCAACCTTAGGTCGCATATTCACGGTTAGCGTGCTAATATGCCCAAAGGTATACACATGAGCTGTTCAAGCCACAGGAAGCATGTTTCAATTTTAATGTCCGCTACTAGCGCTGTGTATTATTCCAACTTGATTAAGTTTCAAAAGTTATATCTGGTGTTATTTGCGCAGTAATTATTGCAATATAACAACTTTGCTTCGAATGTGCTTGAAAATGGAAGGTTCATTGCTTCTCATACGTTAAAACTGTGTACAAGTACGTGCTTGTATGTGCTGAAAAACTTACAAATGATCCACTATTTCTGCATAATTATATTATAAGTTATTTTCTGCATTGATCAGAGGAAGCACGACGGTTTACATAATATTATTAATACTTTTTGCAGTCACAGAAATTTTAACGGCGGTTAAGTGACATACACTAGGCAAGCGTTCAGACGTCAAAGAGGTAAACCAATAACTCACTTGGTCGAATGTATAGCAGCAGAACGCCCAATAACATATCAGAAGCTATCCATAAAAATTACAATTGTTTTAAAAGCGATCCGCCCATTAAAACAAGGGGCCACAAACATGAAAGAGTTTAAAGGTAAAAAGATCGTTCGCTGCCGTGTAACCCACTTTTTGGACACTCGTTGGCATCAATTTTTCTCTTCTTTGCCAACTTAGCTCGCTATATGTAAATCGTCACCAATCGAGCGTAAGCGCGCGAGCTAATTGGTACCAAAAGATGGTTTTCAATATCTGTTAGAAATAATTTCCTTTACTTTTAATACAGTTTTTCACCATAACCATTAACAATGAATGCTCATTTACTGTGATTAAATCGTTATAGTATAAATTAATTAGTGTTTAAGTTAGCCTTTGGTTGACGCTTTAGCAACATAACTTCAAAAATCTAAAATGGACCTTATTTCCAATTAGGGAATACACGGATAAAAACACGGATTGATCTCATAGTTTAAAACCTGTGTTGTTCTAATATTAATTTTGATTAATTCCATTCTACAAAGCAATGCCTTCCTTTGTCCTAAAAGTTACTAGGCATCGTTGTTCTAGGCGGCGAATTAGCCTAATTTTACTTTTTTTTTTTTATGTCAATTCAAATACTGGAACATAAACAAAGACAGATCCCCCAGAATAGAATCAACATACCGTCTAGGCAAACAAGAGTATATAGTTATAGCAACTGTGTTACAGTGCGGAAATGTATTGAAATAAATATACCAATAACACAAGTTCTAGGAGATTTGTTTTTCCGGCTTACATTAGGTAAAATGCTGGCCATTTTTAGCCAGTGTTTACGTGTAAGAACAAATATACTGTTCTTGCTGAACTCATTGAGAGGTGAAATGATTCATTTCACTTAGATCATTATGTTAATTCCTTTTTTTTTTTCTTTTTTTGGGGCATTGTCTTTCTTCACCATGATTAAAATTGCTCGCGATTGGATGAATCGTAATTTTATCCACCTCATCGAGAACCTTAGATTGGTACTAAGAAGGTGGACCAAACTTTTCGTTTGTAATTTTTTTTACAACTTTTTATTTTTACAATTTCTACACTAGCAGCATTTATGAAAATGGAGTTAGATTTTCTTTTTACGAAAAGCTTCAAACTCGTTTACGTTTGTTATCCGCTTAGTCGTGTTCTGAAATGCTAACTTGCTTAAATACGCTTAGTGTCGGAGGCATTAAGAGAGTTCAGAAAATACATATAGCTAAATATCGGGGAAGAAATGTTCCTGGGGCCCCTTTTCGCAGAAAATCCTTTTTTCAGCTTAAAAAAGAAAAGCTTTTTTTACTCTATTTTTGAATTTAGTATTTTCCGCATTTGTCCAAGTTATTTGATTAAATTATCGGAGACCCCACGAGTAATCAAGATACAAGTTCAAAATTTACAGAAGTGGTAACTGAAATGATTTTGCACAAACATCCTTCATAGGTGCCTTCTCTCTGTCCTTTAGTATCATTGTATGTTTAACTAAATGGTTAGAGTTTGCATTCGCCAATATACAAAAAGAAAACAAGAACGTATCCTTAAATAGGTGAAAAAAACAAGGACCCTTGCAATTCACTAAACAGGTTAATAATTAAACTATATAAAATCTCATCTGCGGGCCTTCGCACTACTTCTTACGTATTTAACTCTCCGGTTTTGGTAAACATTATAATTGCATGATCGAAACCTTACTAGAGAGGACGGTAACGTGACGCGAAATACGAACTATCTGTTACGTTTAAAGTATCGATATCTTCGACCTTTTTTCCGTTGTTTCATGCCACTTCAACATCATGCGTTCAACATCATATCTAGTTCCACATCATAGTCAACAGATTTAACTGCCCGTAAAACAAGGTTCAAATATGAAAGTTGTCTTTTTATGCTGATATGTTTTTTACCCTGTAATTCGCGAAGATCTCGTTGGCCCATATCACGCAGGAAGTGGGCTTTTGGAGAGGTCACGCACAGTTTACTGCTCCAGCGCGACAGATTGCTCGGTCGACCAGTGCAACGATGTGAAACTCAGAAAGCACACGGAACATCGCGATGAAATGTATCTTTCCACTCTTATATTTTAGCCAATAACTTGGCGAATTCGTGCATTTTATTGCTATTTTCTGTAGGAATAGCTACTTTACAGCTTCTACAATTCCGTTTCTTTCTTCGTGCTCTACAACATTATTCGAAGCATCCCCAAACCATATAGAGATTTGAAATCTCCCGCTAATGTTTTGTACGTATTCCAGTCAACATATTTTATTGATTTTTGAATTTACGCCATTGTTCTACGTTACCAAGGGATTGTAATGTTGTATTAGGTCAATAGGGATTCTGCTTGACTAATTCAAGAGGCCAATTGACTAGCGAAGTGGTAAAGATATGGGCACCACTAGATGCGCTGATACTTGAGCGATTCCTCTCCAGTGGGCAGCACATGAACTGTATGGGTTTAACCTCATGACTCATGCTAAGGCTCTTATTAAGGATTGCATGCATTTTAATTGCTTCTGATACTGAGCCTGATGGGATGAAGTTTCGAAAACCGGCCACCAATATTAAAGCGAGGGAACCTAACGATTGTCTGGTAGCGTGAAAAGTTAGCTGGGTCGAACGAACGCTATTTCCGTAATTTCGATGTATAGAGTAGCGTTTAGGTTACATTAATATATATTAACCAAAAATCCTAGTATAGAATTCGAAAAGGGCAATTACGTGTTGACGGTGGATTTAGGATTTTTAAAACGTAATGAAAAAAAAATAAAGTTTTTTGGCAAGGCATTGTTCCAACAGGTTTTTCACACGTCCTCGTGTTGTACGAATGAGAGTCATTAACCTCGCATTAAAAACCGTAAGATAAAAGAATCATCTTTTAAGAAGATTAGAAGACCTGATTCTAAGCAGATGATCGTTGACACTTCTTCGTCGTCCACCCTATGGCCCTCGGTGGCATTTGGTTACCATACATCATTGTATCTAAAACTTCCATTTTGTAATAAAGCACACATAGTCATAGCTGTTGCCGAACATTGCTGGAATAAACTATTGACAGGCTGAATCGATTTTCCGATAGCGTAATTTTTAATGTACTTTACGTTCTACACCAGTCGCCGCTTTCATCAACGCGCGATCTGAAGCGTTATCACAAGTGCTAAACTTTGCCCGATTGTCGACCCTTCTTATAAATTTATTTCTTTATTTATAATTTTCTTGATTCGGTTCAAGTTATAGTTTTGTGGTAGGCGATCGACATCGATTATTGAATACACAAGCCGAGTGTCGTTCCCTGTAGCAATACACAATTTACCCATTTCGCGTAAATTTTTTTTTTTTTACTTTATTTATCTCCCATTTAGCAGTGTTACAATTTCAGATAAAAAAAAAATCGTTATACGTTTTCGAAGCGTTACGATAAGCTTGAAAGACACTATAAAAGTTTTTAAGCTATTTTTTTCCTATCTATAAAAGCTAGACGGTAATTTGAAGTGGGCACATAAAGAGGTCATCTATTACGGGCGTTGTGGGTATGCGTAAACTATCTTGCCGTGTTGACATTTCAGTAACAACAATTGAATGCTATTCCGCCTGATAATTTTAAATACGTATTGAGCGAAACAAAAGCGTTGGATCATTCGTCTATAGATATATGATTACAACAATGTTATTAACGAAGCAACAATGATAATACTAGCAGTAGTTTGTTGAACAATTACGAATTGCTTAACAAGCTACAAGAAGAACGATAAAAACGTAAAAAAAAAACCCAAATCGGTGCCATTTTGAGCAACGTTCTATTAAGTGTATATATTACAAATAACTATGTAATCGAATGTTGCTGAAAGGTCGATACTGAAAGACATCTGCATCTCATATCGGCCATTGTGTGCAATTCGTATGTTACTGCCCGACGTGGAATTACGTGATTATGACATTTATCGTGCCAAAATACCGTGAACGTTTGTATGCCGTTTACGTTGTCTCCTTTCGCCGAGTCTTTAAACGGAGCAACTGGATTCATGCGTGAAAAAGATCAGCGTCTTCACTGTTTAGCTTCCCTATATATATATCGTTGGTATTTTTTGATTACGTTAGTTTTGCTGTTGCGACGATTCAGCTAAAAGAGCTAGCTGATATCCCCAGAACCTCAGGTAAAACATTTTCGTCAAACTTATGTGAGATGTAGATACCGCGGAGGTCATAGCGTCTGCTCATGGTGATTACTGTGCTTCACAAGCGCTAGCGATTGGCGCAATTCAAGAAAGCGCTCGACCCGGTGTGGGGTCGTCACATACGTGGCGAAATAATAGTCTGTTTCACCTTCATATTCCCTTTTGGCTCTTCCCCTATGTCAATTATACCAGTCATTGTCAACTATAACTAACCAAATATTCGATTTTTTCTCTGTCTTTCTTTTTGACGCAGCAACTCGATTTAAGCCAGAACGAGATTCGGCAAGTGCCATCTGGAGCCCTTAAACATCTGGAAGGAGTTCGACACATCGATTTAAGTGCCAATCGCATCAAAAGCATCTTCGAGTTTCCTCATTTAGAACATTTGCTCAGTCTGAACCTAACAAACAATTCGATTATTTCTATAGAAACTGAAGGATTATCGCACCTGGAGAGTCTCGAAGTACTAGACCTTTCTTCAAATTATATCAAGACAGATCTACATCTGATAGGTCTATCCTCACTACACACATTGAACATATCGAACAACCTTTTCCAGGATATCCCTTCGAGCATTAAGAAGCTCACTTCGCTCAAACATCTCGATATTTCAAAGGCAAAAATTCGAAATCTCGGTTACGGCCCATTTTCGCAACTCACTAAACTTGAGTATCTTAACTTAGCCTGGAATGAAATTGTGCAGATTCAGGCAAACACATTTCAAGGGCTGGCTAGATTAAAGACACTCATCCTAGATGCAAATATACTTCGTAAGTTCGAGGAGTCTCACGTAACGGATTTGGAAAATCTAGAAGAACTTTACCTCAATGATAACCAGTTGCTCTCATTTCCGACTGAAATCTTCCTCAAATTGAGGAGCCTTCAAAAATTGCATCTTGATTTCAACCGCATCGCCGCTATCTCTGAAGAACTTCTTCGCTATGCAGCCAAGCTCCACTACCTTTCACTAAGTTATAACTTGCTCACAGAGATTCCCGAAGGCACTTTCCGCGATATGGCCCAATTGAGAGTGCTCAGACTACGCGGGAACAACCTCAAAAAGTTTACTCCGTCAAGTTACGGCGGGCTAGAAAGCTCCCTTATTGAGTTAGACGTCGCAGATAATCAAATAAGTTATTTACCTATGCTAAATCTTAGCGCTCTGGAAGTACTAGATATAAGTGGAAACCAACTCGTAAATTTGCATTCAAAAATGTTCTCCACCTCTATAAAACTGAAGAAGCTCATACTCGCAAGAAATCTATTTAGCAAAATCGATCCAGGTTGGATTGAACCACTTTCTCAACTGGAATATCTTGACGTAAGCGGATGCCAAATCTCGATTATCTATGATAGTACGTTTGGCAGCTTCCTTCGAGCTAAGCACCTTCATTTAGCCAATAACGGCTTGGAAGCTTTTGGACGTAACATCAATCTTGAGACTGTTGAGGAACTGGATCTCAGTGGTAACTACCTGAGCGATGCTAAACTGAACGTAAAGAAACTGCGTACACTCAACCTCTCGTACAATCGCCTTCGTGCATTTAACGTGTCATCAAACTCACCTTTTGCACTTCGTAAGATTGATATTTCCTTTAACCGATTGCAGGAATTGAGGGATGACTTGTTTGGAGTTCACCTGGCACTTGCGGAAGTTAATCTAAGCAATAATATGCTCTCACAGATATCCGCTGATGTACTTCAGAGCTTCCCAAATGTCAAGAAATTCCTGCTCTCGGGAAATCAGCTGCATATTATACAGGATAAAACGTTCTCGCCTCTTCGTAGTCTCTCTGAGCTCGACTTGTCCATGAATCAAATTCACACCTTAGAGGGAACGCCATTTGTTAATTGCTCGTCACTGAATAGCATCGATATTAGTCACAATCTTTTGGAAACCCTCACCGACGAATGTTTCAATGGGATTTCTCGCCTCCGACTCAATCTGAAGGGCAACCAGCTTCATACTATACCACAGAATACGTTCTCAAGAACAAATGTCTTTGCCCTTGAAGCGATTGATCTTGCAGAAAACGAGTTCTTTGAGTTCCCGGAGTTGTCTCTTCGACGTCAGTACTCCGTCATCGATCGCGCTAACTTCTCCATGAACCTTATACGGAGCATACCGTCGAACGCTGACGTCCTTGTAAACGTGAAGCACATTGACGTTTCGCACAACCCGCTTACTTCTGATGCCCACTACGTTCTTCTGGGAGAACCAAAATCTCTTCGGTCACTCTACATGACCAACGTATCATTAAAGTTAATACCGGATCTGGAAACGCCTTTTTTGAGAGAATTGGTTATATCGGACAATGAAATTAGCGGATTGGCGAAGACCACTTTTAAGCGAGCGACCGGCTTAGTAAAATTAGATTTGGCTGGTAACAAAATTGTCAATTTTTTCGGCATAGATATAGCACTGCCCCGACTTGAACACCTTGACCTCAGTGGTAACCAGCTCTATGAAATTACAAAGAAATCATTTGTTGCGCTTAGCGAGCTTTCAACGCTGAAGCTGTCCGGACTGAACAACCTCACTAGAATGGGGTGTGAAGCATTTCGGTCTCAAAAACGATTAAATAATCTTGAAATTCTCGGATATCCGAAAATCAAAGAGTTAAACTACTCATGCATGAATATTCCGAGCGCCCTCGAAACACTTATGGTGGAAATCAAGGCACCTTCTCTCGGTGCACAACTCCACAAGATGTATAATCCTCGACTTAAAAAGTTACTGGTAGCGGGCGACACCCTTGAGCAGCTGACCCCGACCTCGCTTGCTGGTATTCGATCTGAGCGTCTAGACCTTATTTTCTATAACACGAATCTCCAAAATCTGCCTGCCTCGCTATTCCTTCCGTTACCACTTTCTTCAAATATCCGACTATCAGCTGAATACAGTCAGGTCATGCATTTCGATCCGCATCTTATTCAGCTCATTAACACTAGGCCTAACTTCATTATGAGCTCGTTTGAGGGCAGTCCACTTCAGTGTGACTGCAATACAACTGAGCTGTACCATGCCCTTATAAACAAAGTGGATAAATTCTCCGATGCTGGCACCATTAGATGCTACACTCCATTAATCCTGCGAGGTATACCTCTGGTTAATCTACAGGAAAGCCAGCTTCAATGTGATGAGGATGGCCTTTCAAGGGACATTGTAACCAATGACCTTAGTCGTAGCGAATCTAATGCACCTGCTAAAAAAGACAATCCCTTCAAGCTGGACGAAAGCCTCTTTAAGAAGCCGTATCGACCATCGCCAACGTTAGTGCAAGATCTCGTTGTTCGCAAAACTGTGATTACGGACCCTCCGTTCTTAACGAAAGTAGACATGTTAATTATTATAATCATTTCGACAGTCGTTATCCTCGTGACCACTATATCGATTGGTGTGTGCATCTGCAAGTGGTACAATCGCGCCGAGGAGATGCCCTACCCCCCGGGAGCGTGGGCAACTCTTCCGCCGCATGTCGCCATGCCATTGCCTTCAAAGTGTACATGCGTACGTCCACCATCAGCGCCATGCACTTGCCGAACGCCGGTTACGTCTGTGCGGGGGCGTACTCCCGATCCCTATCAAAGAGCCATGTCTCGGGGACCCCCTATGGTGATGCCGCCTGGAATTAATGGGCATCACCTGTCGCGACCGCCCTCAATGTGGGATGCGCAGTCATGGCGGTAATGCGAGGCACACTTGTAACAGTTCCCGTAGCACTAGTATATCTGAATGACATGAACAGTTAGAGGCCATCTAGGTAATTGAACAGTAACAGGATCTAGTCGTATGAGAGCGGCTTGATCGTAGTGAGTTTGTGGATGAATCGACATCATCACCGACGTTGCTCACCCTGTACATAGATACATTGTGTGCTAAACATTACTGATAATAATAACTAATAGAATTAATACTCAGACAGAAAACGTGCATAAGGGCACTTGTTGCCACTGGTCACTAATATGATGTGATGTTTATTTTACAATTACTATTTGTGTATTTTTCAATGAAGCCGACTTGGAGTATTTATTTGAACCTCAAATATAGGCCCTTCCTTTGTTATACCTATATTCTATATCGTTTTCTTTTATAAGAGAACTGGCTATACAGCCGGCTGACTAAATCTTAGATGGCAGCAAAGCATCCTCAGTTGAATTGTATGTAATCAACCAAGCAAAAGGCACTTAGACTGTTTAATGACTGATTGTTTTTAGTTGTCGACTGACCTTGCCCCCCAGCCTGCGTATACATTTATATGATACAATTAACGGTTATATGTCATCACGTAAATAACAACAGTCGTGTGTTTAGACGTTTATGGCTAAAGCTCTGATTGGCCTACAGAACAATGTCAGCATACAATTAGTTACCGTGTGGAATATGCCGTAGCTCTTCCCGAAGCTATTATAAATATACCCCTTGTTAGACTAACGGAAGCACGCGTCTCTGCAAGGCTCTGGTGGAAAACAAATTGCCGAAAATGGGTAACAATTTTATTGTTAAAAAAAATACATTATCAGGTCACCTAGGTATTCTCTTAGGTTGGTACATCCAGGTTGAATAACCACAATGACATTGTACGTCAAATGTGAGATGCACAGGATGCGATGCGATCGAGTCAAACCTAACCCTTATCGCACCAAGGGAAGCAACCTATTAATAAATCAGCAATATGCAGTTTAAACAATTATAATATGAACAGTAGTTCTTTGCTACGAGCTTTGTACAAGTAACATTATGTAAGTTTGTTGGCGAAGTTCATCAACAACCCTTCATGAGAACGTATCTTTCAGCTTTTCAACTGGAGCTATCCCTTTTTGGTGCGGCATATTTTTTTTCAGACGTTAACAAAGATAAATTATCGAATGGACTCTCGAGCTACTGGGCAGTAGTTCATTCACAAAGGACCTCACGCCGTCTTTGTGACCTGGCGTGATTAATGGAACTTAATTAATTTCTTTATTTGTTATTAATAAAAAAAAACATGAAATTAATTAATGGAAAATGAGAGACAGGAGCGGTCATCGTCGTGCAAAAGGGCCTGGTAGAAGAGTAGGCAAGACTTTTAAAGAAGACTGGAGAATTTTAGCAGGATGGAACTATATTCGGCAGCGAGCTCCTCAAGCCTGTCAATGATAAACTTAGCGGAAATAGTTCGTAGTAGATACTTAGAATTGTCCACAGCTGACGTACCCTCCTGTCTTCGGGCATCGTAATAAATAAGGTCAAACCTAGCAAAAGTCTATAGCCAGACCATCAGAGATTAGAGAATAGTTATCTACCTTAAACACGGTACTGCTTTCCTGACTTTTATTTTTCAATAATTTAAAGTTGATAGCAAGCGGATTTAAGCTCAGGATGTACGGGAGGGCTAGAATCAACCATATACTTCATTCGAATTCGGGATGGGTGAGGTCGAGCCGTCGAAAAGCTTATGCATCTAATTTTGTGTACCACTTTTTTTATGATTGAAGCAAGTGCGATCGCGTTCCATGTCACGTTCACGGATAGGCATCCTCGTTCTCAAGCAACATTGGCAAAAATCTCTTCGCCTAGCAAAAAGGTACCTCGAGACGTCCTATAGATTACTCGAATAGAGCGAACGTCCTTATTCCGGCACGCCATTTTCAAACTAGCCACAGAGATCCTTGATCGTAAACTGTTTTATTGAGAACGCACAATGTCCCATAAATTCAACGTGCAATACAACCTCAACATTTATGTTCTTTCTTAGGTTTAGGCGACAAGAGAGTAGTGTTACTTCAGAGAAGATACGCAAACGGCCTCTACTTAGCAGAGTCAATTGCCGAGACGGCTACTTCCTGCAAGTACAAGAATAACAACGCTTCGCCAAGATTCGTGCGACTACAATCTGTAGGCACGTTGCGACGCGAACATAATCCACGCGTGCAATATTACTGCTGAGGAGTGCCAATCAGGGATTCTGCCTAAATTAGGTTTATCATCAACCTTCTCGAGGTGACAGAAAAACGCAGGCAACAGTAAAATGAGATTGAAGGCATTGATGATATCGCTGACTGAATAACAATATTTTTCCTAGCTGGGCTGCACGAGGCGTATCCGACAACGCCTTAGGAATCACCAGGCTGCTGCTGCCGCCGCCGTAGGATCAAGATGTGTTTTCTCATACCAGTTGCACCGGCAACAGTGTCATCCATTAGGAATATTTTCTTTCTATAATAACTTTCTATTAGATAGTCGCTACAACCTCTGACCTAATGTCTGAAAATAGAGCGAGTTTTTCAACAGAGCCGAACTGCTGTTAGCGGACGGTGCCCGGATGCCCCCTTCAAGTTAGCTAATCTGGTAACATTGCACCTTAGAAAAGTCTGAGTAACTTTCAGCGAGTGTTGTCTATTAAAATTGAAGGACAATATAAACAACTGGTAAGGTATGCTAAGCAACTAGGCAATCTATTTCTCCTATACAAATTACATCGATGTACCGATGAAAATAAAGCGTTAGTTGGCACTTCGTCACCTTTTACCAGCTTCAAATAAGTGAAATAGAAAGTAGCATTAGGAATTCTTGCTGGCGTCATCGAAGCGGGTATTGACCGGTCTAGCGTCAAAATATATTCCACCCTCATCGACAGCAGAAACCCTTTGTCCTTGACAGGAATATTATGAGCTATAGCAGCCATGTGAAAAAGTAGTCTTCGTCACTATGGCGATTGAAGGAATCATTGAATGGTAATACCTGGACCAGCCGGGCCATCATTTTTGACTAAGACTTCGAAGCGTTTAGTTGCCATATATGTCAGAAGAGTTATCTTACGTTACAGCCAGGAACAAAGAATTTCGCTTGCAAAAGACAAAATCAGATTTTTACAGCTTCGGCTAAAGCGCAACGATAATAGGAACGCGATGAGGAAGGCAACTAGCTAAAATAGAACTAAGAAATGAAAGCTACCGCATTATCAAAAATCAATATCTTTTCCGGTCGGGAAAATGCTCACTTACGATACGGCCAACTTATTTAGCGTCCAGGACAATATTCAGATACTTCACAGATTTTTCTACCATCCATAGTGAGTACGAAAAAGGGAAATCCGGTGGTTCGCTTTACGATACGCTGAACGAAGATTCACTTTAATGATAAAGTAAAGGCTAACTGATGAAGAGGGAAAATACCTTTTCCACATAAATAATTATTATAATAATAAAATTATAATCATAGACAATGGAATTGCTTGCATTTATCCATTTGGCAAAAAAAAAAACACATGAATTAGCTAGGGCGACAATGCACGTCTGCAGTATATAGGTCCACTGCTGTTATCAGTAATCGCCCGAACGATACCAAGACACGTCATTTGTTCGTGGACCTTCTTCTGTACACTGATGAACAGGCGCGACCTTTGGCGAGCAACGACGACCTTTAAGAGACGTGTCAACTCAGGTACGAGGTAAACACGCGAATCCATAAAATCGACCATCAAAACAATACATTTTGCTGTGGAAAATCTTTAGCAGTGACGGTCCCTTCAGACCCAGATGCATTTATCATGCTGTTTATCAGACACCCAGCTTACACGATTTCCAAGAAGATTGTTACTTTAAACATTGACCCGCCGCACATTTCCACAACGTGTTAGCGCCCCCATCAATGGTTTCCCATAGTATTGAATCATTGATAAAGGTGCTAATGTGATGTATTAACGATGATGTCTTTATACAGCTTACCTTCACAAAAATCTATACACAATGAGATGCATGCCACATAACCATTTACTTGTTATTACGCCAGTTTCTTGTTATTTATCTTATTATTGTCTTAAATGTTTTTTTTTTACGGAATAAATGGTGTCAATAAAAGTTATTATTATTACAAAATGCAGGTGCAATGAACGACCAGTCTGGACGCAACATAATCTTTGCGATAACCATATATAGGGAACGCTTAGGCTGTATGGGCCCACATTTGCTTCAGGCTATCGTAGCAAGCAACCGGTACCATAGAAGAAAAACGCTACTACATCTGTCGAAGACGCTTGTATTGTTTGGCCGAAATGGATCATTGAGATTCATTAATTTTTGAAGAAACGTCAATCCAAGACACCTTTTGGTAGACCCATACGCCCCACATGGTATATTGCGCACTAATGGTCTCGTGTGAATGAGTGATTTGCTCAACAAAACGAAATAGAAAAGGCTTTTTTTCTTAGAAAAGGCCACAATTATGGTATTATCAATTGAAATTAGTATTCCCACTAAAATAAGCTATACCCTGAAGCCATTTAATTTCTTCAATTTCATTAGAAATTAGCATTTATGGCGGCATCTGGTTTAATATAAATATATATATATATATA